GGGGGGGGGGCATGGGGAGGGCTGTACAACACAGAGAAGACATGTAGTGATTCTACAGCATCTTACTACACTGATGGACAGTGAATGTAATGGGGATTATTGGGGGGACTTGGTGAAGGAGGGAGCCTAGTAAACATAATGCTCTGCATGTAACTGTAGATTAATGATAACAACAACAAAAAAGTTTAGAAATAGCCAATAACCTCTTCATTTATGAGTTTCAAGTGGATTCTTTAGTGTTTTCTGTTACATATCACTGGTATTTTATGTGATCAGGAAATACCACAGGAATAGAAAATAGTTTTGAATTAATGATATGGGAAGACAAAAATAAAAATAAATCCAAGAGTAATCAAACACTGTTTGAAAGTAGTTTTGATTATGGCCACAATTTCAGTGGAATGTTAGAATGCACCTAATCATGATAGTATCAGTCTACGCTAAGCTTTTACATTAAAAAGCATCTTACTTATCCACCTTCACCATTAAATACACAACTTCAATTTACTCCAGAAGTTGAAAAGTGGTCAAGGCTGAAACATAAAAAAAATACAGACAAGACTTCTGATTTTAACTCCACTTAAAATCTTATGTGTACATGGATGAAATTCATACTTACATATGCGTGCATCTAAAATTTAGGAAATACAAAACAAAAAATAAGTAAAAGCATGAAATAAACAGACCCAAAAATGACTTTCAACAGACATTATTTCAAATCAACATCCACAATTGCTTTTAAGTTTAACACATCCTTTGATAGAGATCACAAGTTTTTTGTATTTCTCAGGTTTAACTCAATTCAATCAATAAACAAAAGATGTACATACGAATAAATGACAAACATGCTTGAATCAATTCATAAAGTCTGTAAATATATCTCTAAAAAGTTTAATAATGTATAAATTAAATATGATACCAACTTTCAATGATCAGTTTATCAAACATTAAATAACACTCCTACCCCTGAGGAGAACTTATAAATACGGAAAAAAAACGGACAACAAAAAAGTCCTTTTTATGTTGTTGGTAAAGTAATACAATTTTCTGATGGGGACAATTTACATTAACTATCAAAAGCTTTAAAATAAATGTTGACAGCCCGCCCTGCCCTGCTGTGCTGCTGCAGCCATCGTGCATGCAGCTGGGCGGAGAGGCCAGACCTGCGCTCTCTCTCCTCCTTCCCCACCTCCGGCTGCCTGCAGGGCTTGTCTCCTGCTGCTGCTGGGACACCCGTCATGGCCCGCCACGAGCATGAAGCCCCCCAAAAAGGGAGGTGATGGAATTAAAGCACCCCCCCCAATCACTGGAAGATTTGTAACCTCCTTGAAAATTGGTATTGTTGGATTGCCAAATGTTGGGAAGTCTACCTTCTTCAATGTATTAACCAATAGTTAGGGCTCTGCAGAAAACTTCCCATTCTGCACTACTGATCCTAATGAGAGCAGAGTACCTGTGCCAGATGAAAGGTCCGACTTCCTTTGCCAGTACCACAAACCAGCAAGCAAAATTCCTGCCTTTTTAAATGTAGTGGATATTGCTGGTCTTGTGAAAGGAGCTCAATGGGCAACGCCTGGGAAATGCCTTTTTATGTGATATTAGTGCCTGTGACGGAATCTTTCATTTAACACATGCTTTTGAAGATGATGATATCATACATGTTGAAGGAAGTGTAGATCCTATTTGAGATAAAGAAATAATATATGAAGAACTTCAGCTTCAAGATGAGGAAATGATTGGGCCCATTATAGATAAACTAGAAAAAGTGGCTGAGAGAGGAGATAAAATACTAAAACCTGAATATGACATAATGTGCAAAGTCAAATCCTGAGTTATAGATCAAAAGAAACCTGTTCACTTCTATCATGACTGGAATGACAAAGAGATTGAAGTGTTGAAGAAAAACTTATTTCTGATTTCAAAACCAATGGCCTACTTGATTAATCTTTCTGAAAAAGACTACATTAGGAAGAAAAACAAATGGTTGATAAAAATTACAGAGTGGGTGGACAAGTGTGACCCAGGTGCCTTAGTCATTCCTTTTAGTGGGGACTTGGAACTCAAACTGCAAGAATTCAGTGCTGAGGAGAGACAGAAGTATCTGGAAGCAAACATGACAGAAAGCACTTTGCCAAAGATCATTAAGGCTGGGTTTGCAGCACTCCAACTAGCATACTTTCTCACTGCAGGCCCAGATGAAATGCGTGCATGGACCATCAGGAACGGGATGAAGGCCCCTCCAGCTGCAGGAAAGATTCACACAGATTTTGAAAAAGGATTCATTATGGCTGAAGTGATGAAATATGAAGATTTTAAAGAAGAAGGTTCTGAAAATGCGGTCAAGGCGGCTGGAAAATACAGACAACAAGGCAGAAATTACACTGTTGAAGATGGAGATATTATCTTCAAATTTAATATACCTCAGCAATCAAGGAATAAATTTTAGTTATTCCTCAGATAAATATACAACTTCCAAAAAGCATATGATTTTTTTTTAAATGAAAATTTCTGAAAACTGAAGGGAGAAATAAAGTTGGGGCAATAGGAATTGTCTAGAAAAAGAATTTTTGAAATTTGTTTTAAAATTAAAATATTGTGTATCTCCAATGAAATGCAAGTTCACTAAATGTGAACAGCTTTGCTTTTCATGTGATTAAGACCCTACTCCAAATTGTAGGAGCTGTTCAGGAACCATATTACTCTGATACTTCATTAAACTCTATCATGTATGCTAAGCCTGACACATTTGACAAAGAGGACAATACAACTTGCTCCTTTCTGAATCTACAGATAATGCATGTTTTACAGTACTCCAGATGTCTACACTCAATAAAACATTTGACAAAAACAACAAAAAAAAACCAAAAACATGTTGACATTTTTGACTTAGCAATTCCACCTGTACAAACTTCACAAGAAATTAAGACAAGTGTGCCAGACTTGCAGAGATATTCATGATACTCAAGTCTGTCTGCAATTGAAAAGACCAGAAACAATCTCAAATAACTATTAAATGAATTATCAACAGAAAAGGTATTCATGTATTACACAAGCTAGTAATATATTTAATGATGAAATGTCAAATGCTTCCTCCCAGCTCAAATAAAAAATTAAGACAAGGCTTTTATACTCATACTTCTATTCAATACTGTATTAGAAGAAATAAAAGGGGATCTATGAAGTCAAACTATTTCTGAAAAAATACTGAGATTATTTGTCTTTTCCACTGTGTTGGCATTTGCACTAATGGTGCAGTAGCAATGATGGGCAAAACTGCCGGCAGTGGAACCAAGCTATACTAGTAAGGTTTTCTTCACTATCACACACTTGCAGAAAAGCAAACGTGCCATCTTTATTTATGGTTGTTATTCTAACACCAACCAGTCAATACAATCTGACACTAACCACCTGGAATTAGCATCAGATGCCACCTGTACTTCTGGCCAAGTGGCTATAAATCTGGGAAGTTCTTAAGATTTTCAGATTTGATACTGACTCACAGAACTAAGGAAAGCTCTATACTTAAAATCACAACTTTATTATAAACGATATAAATCAGGATTAGCCAAATGAAAAGAGACCTGTAAGGGAGAGGTCTGGAAGGGTCCTAAATACAAAGCTTCTACACCCACTCTCCAGGAGCCAGGTAGTTTCAACCCACCTGGCACATGCAAGGGTTCACCAACAAGGAGGATGTACTGAGCTTCAGTGTCGACAGAGTTCATTGGTGTTTCAGTGTATAGGTATGCCTGACATAATCACTCATTGCATTGACTGAACTCAAGTCTCTACCCTCCCTCTCCTCCCTTGAGGCTGGGCCGGCTCCAACCCCCAACATTCTAATCACATGGTTGATCTTTCTGGTGACCCTCCCTCAGCCTCAGTCATCTGACCCCTTAGCACAAATTCAGGGGTCATCCAAAGGGCTCATGAACAGAAAACACACTCCTCTACTTGGGAAACTCCAAGGATTTAGTTTCTCTCCCAAGAACCAAGGATAAAAGCCAATGAAATTATTTATTATACAACAGATGTCCTTATGAAACAGTAAAAATTAGTATTAAGTTTACTCGATTTCAGTTTTTGACTACATCTTAATACTTGGTATGATGAACAGGGAAGCATGCATAAGCCACTTCTGTTTCATACCAAAATACAATGGTTGTCTTAAGGAAGAATGGAAAAACACTTGTAAAAGTGTTGCACTGCAAGCTGAACTAGCCTTTTTTCATGAAATACCATTTTTACTTGAAAGAATTACTTAACAAACTGGTTATTTAGACATTTTCTTGAAAATAAATCAAATGAGCCTGTCACTTCAAGAAAAGTGACATTTGTTGCCAATGAGAAAATCTGAGCTTTTAAGTGAAAATCAGAATATTTGAAAACTTGTATCCACTTCTGTGAGTCTGACAGTTTTCTAAAGTGTTCTTCCTCAAGATCATCAGTTAGATCTGTGTAACTCACTGCTCAGATTTTCCAAATAACCAAAGCACAACATTACCAATGACACATTGGTAAAAGATCTATTCAAAGATGAATGGATTTTAATGTAACAGAGTATGAAAAGTTCACTCTATGCTGTCGGATGCCAACCTGAAAGAACCTTTAAGAAATGAGCACTTATCAAGTTTTGGTGCTGTTCCAAAGCAAAACACCCACAAAGCATTATCCATAAATATGTAAAAACGCCATTAAAATACTGCTCCTTTCTACAACCCCGTATCTGTGTGAGGCCAGGTTTTCTTCTTATACTTCCAACAAACATGACACTGCAACAGATTCAATGTAGAAATAGATGTGAGGAGCTACATATATATTTCACTGTCTTATATTAAGTCAGACTCAAAAGAGGTTTTTGCAAAAATACAAAACGTCACTTTTCACTATATTTTTGAAAATAACTTTGATTAAAAATGGCATTTATCATAACATGTAGTTACTTTTAAATGAATAGTTTTAATATTTAAGTTTTAATTTCTAACTTGATAATGAATAAATAAAATAAAAAAATCCTTAGGGTCCTCAAATCATTTTTAAGAGTAAAACTGAGACTGGAAGGTTTAAGAACTGTCCTATGAAATAACAGACAATGTAAAAACAAAGACATTTAGTGTAGAGTTTCATCAGTAAAAAATGGGAAACCATATGAGCACTAAATAAAAGTAGAGGAATGGGTATCTCAAAAGAATATTTTATAGCCACTGAAACATCTTTTTTGAAAATGATGTAACATTGATATTTAGACAATGTCAATAGAACACAAAACTATATATAATATGCTCTAAATTACATGTTTAAAAACCAGACATTTTCTTATTTCTATGATTTCTTCTAAATACTATGCAGTAATCATGTAATATTCTAACCACAGAAAATATTTTTAAAAATTAAAGAAAAAAATACCAATATTTTGTTAAAGTAGTTAAATAATTAGGTTCTTAGCTCTAGTTACTTTTCAGTCCTTTCCCAAAATTCTAACTTGGTCAATAACTAAAAGCACTAAAATGGCTAAAAAACAACACCAAAACAATGAAAACATTAAAAAAAAAAATCCACCCTAAGTTATGAAAAAGTCACAAGAAAGATTTGGTAAGTTTTATGTAACTTTCATTATATTTTAGTTCTATCAAAACACGACTGTTCATGTAAAAGCTTTTAAAATACAGGTCTCTGATATATAGGTAAGAAACTTTTCCAGGTTTTAAACTGAAGCAACCACTAAGATGTGGATTTAAAGACATTTAAAAATTTAAAAATCAGAGACAAGCACCCAAAAGCAAGCTCTGAAAAGCAAAAACTGAATTTCCTTATGTAATTATAAACTCAATAAAATTCAATTACTAGATAATATTACCTTATTCCTTCAGTTCACTTTTTTTTAATTCCATGATTTTTGCATTAAATGATAGTTTAATGCATTAAAATGCTAGTAAACAAGGGTGGTGGTAGTTAGTTGCTATGGAAGTTTTCAATTAAAACACTTTAGATTTAAACCACAGTGGGTAAAACAAATTATATTTCCAAAAATTCAGAGATCAAGTAGACTACATACTTGTTATTAAGTATTCTATCTTAATGTGAAAGTCAAGAGAAGTAATGTATTTCTTCTCTTGAAATATAAATAAATATTTATGAAATATTTATTTCATAGTAACAGATGAAATATAAATAAAATAAATGTATATACTAAAAAAATAACAGCTGGAAGTTTATGTGGGGTGAAAGGAAAATATTTAATATTATTTACTGCTTACCAGGACTATGATGAGTTGTAAATCCTCCATGCTGAAATTCATCTCCAGCCATACTGATTCTACCAGGATTAAAAGGTCCTACTGCAGTCTTGGTCTGTGAAGTTAAAGATGGGGTGTATGTTTGTATATTAACACCAAAATTACTTGACTGAAGTCCTTTAGTGACATCTCCCAAGTTGGTATTCTACAGTGATGTTACATGTGTAACATTTAGTTCTTATCTTGCCCATCATTCACAGAGCTTACACCTGTTGCTAAGGTTGTAACATTATCAATATGAATTTCAGAGTCAATTCTGTAGTGATAACACTATTACCCATTCCTCCTGCATTTACCTTACTTCTTGAAAGACTGGAAGTGGAGAAATCCAAATCTTTGATTCTGTTTTTAGTTCCAGGAAGTCCCCATTCAGTGAAGCTGGAACAATTTTTCTTTTCCCCTCCATTTGTTTCTGTGTCCTCTTCATCATCAATAACAATTGTCTCACTTATATTTCCCTTCTGAGAAGCTATATCTCTTGAGGAAGGAAGAATTATGGAATAATTTCCTTGTACATTTTCATTTCTTGAGGAAGCAAATAGAAGATTTCTTTGATCAATTATAGCTGGGGCAGAAGTTGAAGGAGGTTGTATAGATTCAATAAATACAACATCATCATCCTCCTCTTCTTCCACTGCTGACTTTTTAGATGTATTACCTAAAGGACTAGTTGGGTTACCAAAAGAATTTCCTACGTCTATGCATCTAGCTGCCATGGCTGCATTCCCCAATAAAGCAGGAGTCTGTCCAGTAGAGTCTAATCTTCCTATTGAACATTTGTCCATGCCAAAGAACCTGAAAGAGACAGAGAAAAGAAAAAAGTTCTAGTGTATTATGATTATTGCAATGAAATAACACAAATAAAAATGTTAAAATCTTTATGTGGTTTTTATCTAACTCCTAGGGAAAAAAATGTCACCCAATCTGTTTTTCCTCTCCCATTAGCTTTTTCAATGCTACTTCTTCAGTTTGATGGAAATTAATCAAATGCTTGGCAGTCCTTAAGAAATTTTAAAAATTCATTTTATAACATTCAATTTACACCCTCTTTACCCTTTATAGTGAAAAAAAAATTCTAAGGCTTCCTTTGAAACAGAAAACAGAAACAAAATAATTCAATCAAGTAACAATCCTGGGTGCAAGGAGATTCACTATACTATTCATTTTTTTA